GGCTCTCACTGCTTAGACTGCTACAAGCCCGGGTCTCTGCTCCCTCTGCCCAGCCTGTATTGGGAGGGGCCCAGGGCCTGCTGGGGAAGTCCCAGGGAACAGAGCTTGGGTGAGCTTCTTAGAGGGCCCTCTCCACGGAGGGGCAAGCAAAAGCCGAGGGGAGGGGAAGCGGGGGTATATCCCCCAAGGAAATGAGTCTTGTGACAGGAAATGAAGTAGAAATAACCTGTCAGGTTCTGTCTCTGGGCCCTGTGTTTACCAGGGCGGACGACAGCCTGACGCCCCAAGAACCCTCTCTGCTCCCAGCCCTGGTGTGCACAGAAAAAAGACCTGTCACAGGAGAAGACAGTTCCAGAGAGGGTGGGAGGATGCGATGCAGTCCTCCCGCCCTCCCCCTCCATCTGCCCGCTTCCTCTGCATCCACAAATGTGTGTGCTGCACGCGCATGTGGATGAGGGGGGTGGAGGGCAAGCTGTGATGGGGCGGGCCAGGGAGCGGGGGCAAAAGCTCAGAGCGAGTGAGCGGAAGGGAGCGGGGCTGGAGGAGCGGTGCACAGGAGGCACAGGATGCGGTCTGCGAGAGAATGAGCTGCACTTCTCTTTTGTGAGAGCAGCCCTTCCCCCCACCTCAGGATTCATCCTACTATCAGGGCCCGGGGACCGAGTCCAAGGGACAGCAGGGACCTTCCACACAGCACACGTGCAAGGAAAACGCTGGTTCAGAAAGAGCTGCGGAAGCAGGAGGAGAGGTTCCACAAGATTCAGTCAGCAGAGCTGAAGTTTTTAGTCCATCAGGGTTGAAGGGCAAGGAAGTGTGGAGAGCAGGGTATGGGCAACAGACTGGGTTCCTGTCACTTCCTCTTTCCACCCCAAGCTACAGGCACCCTGCTTGGGGAGAGGGACCGGAGGAGAGAGTTCTGGACGAGAGAGACCCACCTGGCCTAGAACCTGGGCCCTGAAAGGACTGAGGATTCCTGTGTGGAGAGCAGGGTAGAGAGAGGTTCTCAGGAAGCTGGGATTGTCCCGCTTGCCCTGGAGAACGGGCTGCACCCTGAGCCGGAATGCTGGGGGAGGAGGCGGAGAGGAGGTGGGAGCTGGGAGGGGGCCCGGGAGGTCTTGGGAGTTTTCCCCAGGAGTCCACTCACACAGACAGAGCCCTAAGGAAGTAAAGAATAACATTTGGTCTCTGTCAAAAAACAAGCAAGGGGGAGGGGAAAGGGAACAGACGGCAAGTGTCACACAGCTGCTGAGGTCAGTCTGGAGCTGGGGGGTTAGGCGGCTCGGGGAGACTGAGAGGGACAGCAGTGGCTCTCGGCTGCCCTGAACTCACTCGCCGAAGAGTGGGCGAGTGAGTTTACCTAGCAACCCAAGACAACGGGAGTGGTTTCAACTGGTTCTCTCCAGAACAGTCGAGGAAAGAGTGTGCGTCGGCGCCCACTAGGGTGTTTGCAGGCGAGCGGGCACCTGCTAGGGGGGCAGTGCAGTCCCAGGGCAGTGGCATCAGGGGGACACTCTCATCCAGCCCCAAGTCCCACCCTGGGCTCGGCTGGGGTGGGGCTTTGGGAATGCAGTCCTCCACCCCTCTTCCAATCCCCACCCCCCAGCTGCCAGCCCAAGGTCAGAGTTTGCCTCCTGAGCAGCTGAGCCTGACTCACTCGTCACAGTGGAGTCCCTGCACCCTACCATCAACAGACACCAGGGTGGAGGGATCCTATGGGTGGGGGACTAGGAAGGACAGTTGGGCCGTCTCTAGCTTCCCAGCACTCCTAGCTGGGAGATAAGATTTCCCTCCTTTCAGCAGCTGCCTCAAGTCCCTCCCCCGTGGGGAAAGCAGAAACTGAAATGGGAATTCTAGGGTCTCTGTGAGATCACAGGCTCCACAGTGACCTCACACACGCAAGAAGGAGGAGGAGTCGCAGATAAAGGAGTCAGGGATAATAGGAGGAAGAGCTCGCGGAGAAAAGAGTTGGGGGAGGTGGGAGATTTGCTTTTTTCCCACAGGCTGGCTGGGGGAAGAATGGAGAGAGTCAGCGGCCTTAGGGGGCGGGACTACAAGCAAAGGAAACAGAAACTTGGGGCTGTCAGGGGCAAACGCATGGAAGCGGGGGCCTGGGGCTGCTCTTATCTTTGGTGGAACAGGGGAAAGAGTTGGAGACTAAGTGGAGAAAGAGAAAGGAGTCATGGGGGGTGGCTCGCGAGGGCTGCTTTATGGAACGATCAGAACTGAGGTTGAAGAGATCACGCAAATGAGCCAAGCAGGTGAGGGGCAGGATCATTCTACAGGTGCGCAGATATGCAAATAAAGAGAAGCGGGGCGGGGTAGGGGGGCGCTCACGACGCTCGGCCAGAGATTCTTGAGCGTTCCGTGCAAACCAGAAAAGCGCTCATTGTCTAGTAGTTCTTAAGGTGGGGAGGGGGTGGTGGCAGACTTATGCAAATCAGCAGAATCTAGAACTCCGACGGCCAGGTGATGGGGCGGGCCAGACTCCCGGGCCCGGGAAGAAACAAGCGAGGGGCGGGGCTATGCAAATGAGGGTCCCGGCTGGGCTCGGAGCCGGGTGCACTCACCAGCCTGGGTGATGTCTGACAGGTCGTAGCTGCGGGCCGCGCCCCGGGGGAAGTGCTTCAAACGCCGGTTAGACAGGTTCAGGGTCCCGGTGGCCACGGCCTCCTCTAGAGCCCGCTCTGCACTGCGGCTCCCGGGCAGACCCGGAGACCCTGGAACGGAGGTCGTGGCCGCCGCCTCCTCACCCCCGGCGGCGAGAGAGGCCGCTACCGCCGCCGCCATCCGCTCCCGGCGGCTCCCGCTGCCTGACTGACGGGACCGGCCGTCCCTCCTTGCCCCTCCCCCTCCTCGGAGCCGCCGTAGTCGCTTCCAGGGGGAGGAAGCGGGCTCAGGGACCCGACGGACCAATCGGGATCCCGAGACGCGTCGGAAGTGGCTAATCAGAACCCGCCGGCGGGGTGGAGACTCCGGCGCTGAAGAGAGGCGAGAGAAGGGAGGGGGACTAGAATAGAGTGCTCGCCAACGGCCTACTCTCCAGGCCGGCCCGCCCCGCGCAGCCGCATCCAATCACAAATCTTAGGAGTGGAGATGGAGCCAATCAGGTCCAATCAGGAGGCGGGGACGTCGGCCCTCCACTAGAAGGGATAGAGGCCGAGAAACGCAAACCCTTGTCCTCTTCCAACGAAAACCAATCGCAAGCTAGATACAGCCGAGTGACTGTAAAGAAGGCCAATTAGACCCTCCAGAGGGAACCTGGCCCGGCCTCTTCTCTGAGGGACTGCTCTACCTACCAATAGCATGGGCGAGAAGTCTGTCCCTTCGCTCAGGAGGAGATGGGTGAACTAGAACTTTGAGGTAGAGGTAAAGAATGTGAGTGCGGCACGCTGGGCTGGCTGGAAGCAGTGCAGGGATTGCAGTAGTGTGTGCGAGCTAGACGTGTTAGGGAGCGAGCCAGCTTTGCGGGCGCCAGGGTGACCGTAGGGATGGGGGGAGCGGGAGGCAAGGTGATGCCTGAGGCTAGTGTACAGGGGGTCGTTGCAGCCGAAGGGACCTTGGATGCCATCCTGGCTGCGGAGACCGAGGCCCCGCGACAATCTCCGGAGTCCGGGCGGACCTGTGGCTTCCCAGGGGCTGGAAAGGCCCAGCTCAACGCCTCGAGGGAAGCTTAAGGGAGACCGGGAAAGCCTCGAAAATACCGCCCGGCCTACACCCCTGCCCAAAGGAGCGCGGCTGGGCAGGAATTGTGATGATCAGACCTGGGGGGTTAGTCTAGAAGGGACCACCCCACCTAGAAGAAGTCCTCCGTTTTACAAATGAGGAAACTGAGGCGGAGGGAAGTCGATGAGCTGTCCAGAGCAAACAGCAGGTTACTGACAGCTCACACTAGAAGCCAGGCTTCCCCCTGCATCAGCCTTTGCGGTGGACTTTTTTCTGTTCGTACCCTCTTCTTTGCCTCCCGAGGTGAAATGGAGTGGATCAACGGGACCCAGTTACAAGAGGAAGCTGCAGATACTCGCTCCGTCTGCTGAGAGATCTTAGCATCCTGTTAGGTGGCATAGGACCTAATATAATCCGCTTCATTGGTTAATAGTTGCCAAGCCACAAATAGCTGAAGGTTCTTTCCCATAAGTCACATCTCACACGTTGACATTCCGAAACGTTTATCGAATTACGAAAATTCCATCCTACGTGTCCCAAACGAGCTGTTTACTAGTCCCTCTGAATAAGGGAGTTTGATTGGATGGTTGACCGTCTTTTAGCTAACACGGAAAACAAATGAGTCTGTAATACTATGCAGCTGAGGGCTGGTTGTCCAGGCCTGGATTCCTCAGTTCATGGGAGAGCCAGCTACCCCTTGGATGGATTGGTGTAGATCCTCTGCCCCTATGTGGACAGACACAGCCCCAGCTCCTGCTGTTTCTCATCCATGTCATCCCTCTCCCCACCCCCCACCCCCCCCACCCCACCCCCGCCATAAGAGTAAGTTAATAGCTTAGACTTCGGGAGATAACCTAAGCTTTCAGAGTATATCCACCCCTTTCTTCCACCTTAAGAGGTTGCCCTTCATACATGCAGTCATGTTACTGTCCCAGGAAAGCAGTCTGCTTTTGGATGTGTTTTGCCTGAGTCTGTGCTCAGCTGTGCCCACTTTCATGTGATGCCTGCTTTCATGAGATAGATGGTCTAATTAGCAGGGTGACCTTGCCCCCTCACCTGTCAAACTGAGTTTATACCTTTTTTTTTTTTTTTTTTTAGTTTATATCCTTGAGCTTACAAATCCCCGGAGGCTCTGGACTGCGGAGATGTGAAGAATTCACCAGTGTCTCTCTACACTTAGTGCTAAAAGGGTATCAAGTGGAAAAACCTCCTACTACTCCCTGAAAGTAAAGGCCTCGTCTACCAGTAGTTCACACTTTATTGCTCCTGTCCTGTGCATATCCCATGAGCCACTGGGTGGCTAGAACTGGGCTAGAACCAAGGAGCTAAGAGAGAAAATCCCGGGCAAGGTTGGGGGAAATAGGTCACAGTGGCTGGGCGGTGAGGTCACAGAGAGGTTTGTCTGACCCGGACTACATAGGGGAGGGGCCTAGGAGGCAAAGCGGCCCCAGAGGTTCCCCAAGCCCAGGCAGGGGGCATGGTGTGGGAAAGGCAGCAGGGACAAAGGCCAGGGAGCTGAGTACAAGGGGCCAAGGGGCCCAGAGATTTGAGGGCAGGAGCAGTGAGGGGGCAGTCAGGATGGTGAGGAGAAGCCAGAAACGAAAGCTGCAAAAAGTCACCGGGCTCTGCAGACCGGAGGTGGGGCTCAGGGTGAGGGGGCAGGGGGTGAAGCAAAGGCCGCAAGATGGCAGCCAGAGATCAGGGGAGGGGTTATGTGGAGAAGTTGGACAGGGAACAAGGCAGACAGGGAAGGGTAAACCCACGGACCTAGAGAGAAAGATGGGAGGATTTGACAGCCCAGAGCCCGCAAGGTAGTGGTTAATAAGTAGTTAACAGAAGGAAGAGGCATGACCCTCATGGAACCCCTGTGCACCCCCTTCTCCTTGGGTAGGTGAAGCGGAGCTGCGCTTCATGTGGCCCAGAGCCTGGGGGTGAAGAGAAGAAGGGGAGAGGAAACCCTATATCTATTCAGTTGTTCCCCCCAGAGCTGGTGAGTCCTTGGGGGGGCGGGTTGGTGCTGAGAATAAAGGACTGGGGGCTGCTGAGGGGCCTCCATGACCCCTGCTTTCCCCCTCCTGCCCCCACAGGTGGAGCACATCATTTCATTCCTCCCAGTCAGAGATGTAGTCTCTCTAGGTCAGACTTGCCACTACTTCCACGAAGTGTGCGACTCTGAGGGCGTGTGGAAACGCATCTGTCACCGGCTCAGTCCTCGACTTCGAGAGCAGGGCTCTGGGGTCCAGCCCTGGAAGAGAGCTGCGATTCTGAACTGTACACCTTCCCGGGAACCTCTAGTTCTCTCTGCTTCTGTCCTACCGTATTCTGGGATCCCTCCTACTCCATAAAATTGCCTAATGGGCCCCTTTCTCTGGAAGAAACTTGTTAGATTTAAACATACTCCAACAAGGACTTACTCCAAATCTCTAAAGCTGCTCTTGGACAGACATTGTCACCCAGAGCCCCCATTCCTAGCATCCCTGCCAAGTTGCCCACCATATTCAAGCTCTTCCATATCTTACCTTGAGACATCCTCCTCTCCCAAAACCTGGAGTTTTCCCTCCTCTAAACCAGGATTTTTCAACCTTGTCACTATTAAAACTTTGAGCCAAATAATTCTTTGCAGGGGTCAGGTGCAGTCCTTTGCATGGTAGGATGTTTAGCATCCTACCCTGGCCTCTACCCACTAGACGCCAGTAGCACCTCCCCCAGTTCTGACAGCCAATGTCCCCCGAGGGACAAAAATCACCCCCAGGTTGAGAAATATGCTCTAGTCCCCTCCCTTCCCAGGGAGCCCCTATCCAATAACTTCGTCTCACACAACGGAGATGAAGGGAGATGCAGATAGCAGATCCAGAGCTAGGGGTGTGGAAGGGTTACTGGCCTTTCCCAGTCATTCCTTTTCACACCTCTTTCTGCTTTTCTATGCATTCTTATATTTCCTTTGATGTCTCTGATGCAAGTTTGGACCAAAGAAGTGCTCACTTAGAAGCATGTGTGTGGCCCTGGGCTGAGGTGGGGCAGAGAACTTTAGTTCAGACATGGGGCATAATTTCAGATATCTTCTGAGCTTTCCACGTGCCCTTTGGAAGAGGTCTTTCCCCAGGCCTGGGGATGGAGAGGAGCTAAACACCCATCCATTGAGAAATCTAGCTTTCCCAAGCTCTGTTTCATCTCCCTTGTGCCTCCCCGACCCCTTAAACCTCCCTCTCCTTCCCTTCTGCAGACACGAAGGGCCTGTATTTCCAGGCATTTGGGGGCCGCCGCCGCTGTCTCAGCAAGAGTGTAGCCCCTGTGCTGGCCCATGGCTACCGCCGCTTCTTGCCCACCAAGGACCACATCTTCATTCTTGATTACATGGGGACCATCTTCTTCCTGAAAAATGCCCTGGTCTCCTCCACCCTTGGCCAGAAGCGGGCCTGCTGCTATGTTGTGTTGTGTCACGGAGCCAAGGATGTGAGTACCAGGACCCCAGCAGCTGAGACCCCACCTCTTTTCCGGGAACCCAGGACCCACACCAGTCCTGAGGTGGCATCCTTAGGACAGCCACCCTCCGATACCAGGAACTGGAAACCAAGTTTGCCTTTCCCAGCCCTGGACCCAAGTATCTCATCTCCCACCCCAGGATCCAGCTGCCCCAGCCTCATCCCACTGCAAGGCTGGAGATCCCGGACACCTTTGTCTTTTCCTACAGTTTGCCTCGGACCCGAGAGGTGACACAATTTACCGTAAATACCTCTATGTGTTGGCCACTCGGGAGCAGCCGGGAGTGGTGGACACAGCCCACAGCCAGTCCTGCGACTGTGTCGAGGTCTACCTGCAGTCCAGCGGGCAGCGGGTCTTCAAGATCACCTTCCACCGCGCCATGAGCTTCAAACAGATGGTGCTGGTTGGTCTGGAGACCCAGCGGACCCTGCTGCTCCTCACAGGTGAGGCTTAGAGCAGTGGTTTGCAAACTGTTTCCTGCAGCTTCTTCAGGACCCCTGCAGTGGAAGCTTTGGACCGCCAGGGAATTCCCTGCTTCTGAACTTCTTAATGCTAGGCAGGGCCCTGAACCCCCAGACATCATTCTTCCCAACACTCAAATTGGATTCCGCCAAATCCAGCTGCTCGGTTTTCTCTGCACTCATCCCTCCCACTGAAGAGCCCCCCTGGTTGGTTTTCAGTGGTGAAGGCTGGAGGCTGGGATACTTGAGGTCACTGCCCCCTTATTTCATCTCTACCCTTTTCCTTCCAGCCCCACTCTAGGGCAGCAAATGTCTCATGCTGTATGGCTTAGGGAGTCTCTTGGGAGGTTAATGTGGTTATTGGAGGGTCCCCTCCCCCACACAATTGTCTGCCTCCCCGCCCCCTCCCCCAGAGGAAGGAAAGATCTACTCTTTGGTAGTGAATGAAGCCCAGCTGGACCAGCCACACTCCTATACAGGTCAGCTGACCTTGAGGAAGGTGTCCCATGACCTCCCTCACCTGTGTGTGGCCTGCATGGCTTCCAACCAGGGAAGTACTCTCTACATTACGGGTAAGAGCCACCTCCCTTCTTCTCCAGACCCCAGCCTTGGACAGACCTTCCAGATACAGAACCCTCCCTTATCCTTACTCCAGCTCTGTGGGGTACCCGTAGAGCATCCTAGTCAAAAGAGGTGTTTAAGCTCCCAGACATCATAGCTGGTGCATTTCTAGTGGGTGTGAGACTCCCCAGATCTTACATCTTTCATCCCAAGTAGGGCCTGATCCCTAGGAAATGGGTGCCCAGAGCTGCTGAGCTGAGGGCTCCAAACCCCCCAGACCAGGGGCGAGTGTATTTTGAGGTGCATACCCCAGGGGTGTATCGTGATCTCTTTGGAACCCTTGAAGCCTTTGACCCCACATACCAGCAGATGCCGCTTCCGGTCTCACTGCCTGCCAAGGTAGGATCCTGGGGTGGGGGGTTGGGGGCAGACCAGTGGGGGCGGGGCCTTAGGGGGCCCGCAAGGTACTGAAGGTCTGAAACAGGAGCAGGAATCAAATGATTGATCAGCGAGGGACAAGGGACCCAGGGAGAGGGGTGACCTAGAGGGCAAGACCAAAAGCGATCAGCTGTGTGTGGCAGGTTAGCAGTTGTGAGATACTGGAGCTCAGAGTTCCCCTGGAGACGACTGAAGGCCCACTTCTCCTTTCTACCTTACCTCCTAGGTCCTATTCTGTGCTCTTGGCTACAATCACCTTGGCCTGGTGGATGAATTTGGCCGAATCTTTATGCAGGGAAGTAACAGATATGGGCAGCTGGGAACCGGGGACAAAATGGACCGAGGGGAACCCACACAGGTGAGATTGCTTCCCAGCTACTCTCATTTTGCCCCTCTTCCTCTAATTCCCTGACTCCTGGATCTCTCCACATCTCTACTTTCCATAGAATCCACTTTCTACTCCCTAGGATGTTAAGCCAACCAGTTTGTAACGCCTGTGCTACTGCATCTCACCCGGGGTTGGCACCACGAGGTGCATTCTGTGTGGCTCATGCTACAAGTGCAGTAGGAGTTTAGTGAAGCAGGGAGACCTGGGTGGGCTGAAGTAACTCCAAGAGGTGAGATGTAAGCAGGGCCTAGTGGGTTAGATAGGATTCGGGTGGGTACAGGGAAAGGCATCCTATGTAATGGGGATGGGGACGAAGCTTGCACATCCCTGGGACGGTGGAAGGCCCGGCCTGACCAGAGCAGAGTGTGTTTTGGAACTCAGTAGCTACGAGGTGGTATAGGTGTTTGCGAGCCTACAGAAGTATCGATTTGGGAAAGAGCCGTTGCAGGTTCTGGAGCAGGAGAAGGCAACCCCCTGGATGATGGAGAACGGGTCACGTGGCCAGAGGGCACAGTGAGAGGCCCACCGGGAGGCTGCTGAATGACACCAGCATTTGAGACAGGGGACTGGGGCTGGTACAGTGGCAGCGGGAACAGAGAGGAATGGAGACATGAGGTGTAGTGAAAGAAAATGAACAGTCTCTGGAAACTGACTAGATATGAGGACAGTGGGGTAGGACAAAGGTGGCTCTGGCAATAGACATGGTAAACATGCCAGTGGGCGAGGAATGCTGGTTTGAGGAGAGAATGTGAATTTAGGCTTCTTCTGCAGTGAGAGTAAAACACTAAAGTAGAAATGTCTAGCTGGATTCCAAGTTGGAACAAGGTTGAAATGACAAAAGTAGAGGCAGAGGGGCAAAGCTGGGTGGCCGCCATGATTGTGGGTGGAGGGACTGAAAGAGTTGTCTCTGAGAGAGAGACACACCCTCAAATGCCACGTCTCACAGGCCACGGGCACAGAAAGTTTCACCCAGGAGGGGGTGGTGACAGTGATAGTGAAGGAATATGCTCCCTGACATGGAAGGATGGCTATACCATATTTTTCAGTGAAAAAAAAAAAAAAAATTCGTGAAATGGTTTACACAGCACAATCCCATCTTGGTTTAAAAATATACAACTTGCGTGTATATATTTGCTGAGGCAACAGTGAGGAAGAGTGTCCAGCAAGATGTTAATAGTGGGTGGTGGGGCTTCCAGTGATTTTTAAATGAATTTTTGCTTGCCAGTATTTTATAATTTTCCTGTAATGGCCGTGAAATTACTTATCTATGTCTTCAAAAGTAAAGCGCTCACAGTCTCGGGAGCAAGCGTGCAGGAGAGGCCCTGGGATTTGGCTGCTGGGAGGTCCAGTGCCTTTGGAGAGAAGTCGTAGTGTAGTGGGGAGTGGGGAGTCTCAGGCGAGACTGGCTGTGGTGAGACCAAGAATGTGGTCCACTTCAGACTGATCACGTAGCCAGTCCTACTGCCTAAAAGACAGAGGTAGGAAGCAGCAGAAATCAGGTGGAAATGTTTTTCCAAAAGAGTGGCCATTTTGAAAGATAAAGATATGACAGACTGAAAATGCTAGAGACGGAAGGAAGGACGCAGTGGGAGGCAGGCCCTTCCAGGGGCCTAACCTGGAACTACACAGGGACAGGGAGGAAGGCTCTTCCTCCCCCGAGGCTGGAAGGCAGAATGAGAGACTGGACAGGCCCAGGCCTGGGGGATGAGACCAGGGAGCAGATAGCAGGCCCTCGCCTCAGGCAAGAGGCCTGTTTTCCAGGGAACCGAGAGGAGGAACCAACAGCCGTGCTAGCGCCCCTGTGGTCAGACAGGCTGCAGGAGAACCAAGGAGGAGTGATAGCTGCCAGTCTGCAGTCGGCAGGGCGGACCTCGTTGGGGAGGGGGAGGGTACTCTGGGGCCCACCTCCTCCCTCCCCCTAGCTTCCCTAGGAGAAGCTGTCACCCTTCTCCAACCTGGCCCCTCCCCACGGTGCCTTGGTGTTCCCCACTTAGGGACCCTGCCCTGTGTTCTCAGGTACGTTATCTGCAGCGTCCCGTCGCCCTGTGGTGTGGCCTCAACCACTCCCTGGTGCTGAGCCAGCGCTCAGACTTCAGCAAGGAGCTGCTGGGCTGTGGATGTGGGGCCAGAGGCCGCCTGCCAGGCTGGCCTAGGGGAAGTGCCTCCTTCGTTAAGCTCCACATCAAGGTCAGAGCAGGGTCCAGGGAGCGGGCGTCCAGGGAGGGCCAGAGCAGTAGAGCCCACAGGACTGTAGCTGGGGCTCCCACAGGGACCCAGGGACCCCATCTTCCAGCACCACCCACCGCCCTTTCCTGCCACGTACCATGGCTCCTGGCTCTCTCCCTGAGCTGCCCCTGCTGGCCCGCTCCGACCTCACACAACCTTGGGGCTCAGCCAGCCAGCTCACTTGCTGGCTCAGGGCTGGTCTGAGCAGGACAAGCACAACAGCTGGGGCTTCCTGGGAACCCCTTCCCGGGGCCCCACTCAGCCACTCCCCCTCTGTCTCTCCTCCAAGGTCCCTTTGTATGCCAGCTCCCTCTGTCCTACCAGAGAGTGCCTCTACGTGCTGTCCGGCCATGACATCGAGCACCATCCCGCCTACCGGGACCTACCAGCCAGCAGGGTGGCGGGGACCCCCAAGCCCAGCCTGGGGGCCGCAGCAGCCCAGGACCCTGAGGGGGTGGCGGCGCAGGCCTGTGAGCCGTACCTCGGCCAGATCCACAGTTGCCCCACATTGCAGGAATGCATGGAAACGACGAAGGTGATCGTGGGCTGGATGCCCTTGATGGCTACACAGGAGGATTTCTTCTGGGAGACCCTGGACATGCTGCAGAGGGCTTTTGGAGGGGTTGGCCAAGGCCCCCCAACCCCTGACAGCTGACCCCCCTCTCCTGGTCTCACCCCTGGAGGGAGGGTCTGGCCCTGGGCCAGGGGCTAAGGAGAGGTGGAATGACAGCAATGAATGCTGCGCGTGGGGAGGGGGATGCAGTGGGCTAGGGCCTGCTAGACATGTCAGGGTGGGACTGTTTTGTAAAATGTTCAGGGAGCTGCCCAGGAGGGGCCCCCAACCTGACATGGACAAAAGATTTGATGGACAAATAGAATAAAAGGCTGATTGAGGCCCGGTTTGTAACCCTGGGGCCTGGGAGGAACGGGGGGGGGGGTGGGGGGGGGGGGGTGGGCAGGCAGAGTGGACGCAGCTCAGGCTGTCAGTTGCTGCAGAGCTGACAGCACCTGGATCCTTCAGCTTCCTTTTCCCTCCAACGCCAAGACCCGATGCCTACTTGGTTCCGTCACTTGGATCCTCCGTCCATCAGGCTGAGAAAGGCGCTTCCTCTGAGTTCAGGAAGCTTCCTACCCATTTCCCTTCATCCCTGTGAAGCCAACCCCCCCCCCCCCCCCCACCCCCCCGCTCTCCTCCTCCTGTTTCCCTTCCAGATCTGATCTCACATGTCCTTTCCCTTACTTTCTACTCCATCCTCCTCTTCCTCAATAAGGAAGACACTCCCTTTACCCACAGAGCATGCCTCCCTGCCCCCACCCATACCTCCAAATATTTGGGAGAGAAGATGGGTGAGCAGAATTCTTCCTCCGTGGCCTAGTCTGGCCCGGGTATGGAGAGGACAGTAGACATTTGAAGTGGAAAATAAACTGGAGCAGGGGGTGGTCAGGAAGTGGGTAAGTGATTAGAGGTTGGGAGTCCAGGGAAGGACTTCCTCTGGGTGCTGAGGAAGCAGGAATGGGGAGGATCACAGGTGGGCTGGAGAGTCCTCAGGAAGGACCCGAGGCTGTGTTGGAAGGATGCTCGGGCACTGGACAGAGTGGGCTTGCAGATGATGTTACTGGACTGCCTGGAATATGCTGAGAGTCTGATGCTCCCTCTGCCCTTCGTTGCTCCACCCCCGCTCCCACACTGGGTCAGTATTTATGTGTCCTGGACCTAGAGAGGCCCCTGGAATCGCCACTGTCCCGGCTCTTCTCTCCCTGTCCCGCCTTCCCCGCCGCCCGCCCCACTGGCCAGTCCCCACGCCCACACGCCCAAGGCTGCCTCATCTGGCACTGATTATCCCCGCTGCTGCTGCTGCCGCTGCCGCTGCCGCTGCCGCTGCTGCTACACTCAGCTGCTGCCTCTGTCTTGAGGACCCCAGTGCCTCTCCCTCGGGCCATGCTGCCTACTACCACAGCCTCCCTCTTGGGGCCCCTCCTCACTGCCTGGGCTCTGCTGCTGCCTTTCACCCAGGGCCAGAGCCCCAACTATACCAGGTAGGTCTCTCGGCACCTTCCAGATGGCTTGAGTTAACTTCAGGTCCCTGATTCCTGGGGGGCTATGCCTGTGGAGCTTGTAGATTCTTTTGCTAACACACCACCCGCGCAGATCTCCCACAGCCCTCACCCTTCTCTGGCCCCCAAGTCCTCCTTCCCTGCTGCAAGACCACTGTCTCCTGCGGTCACCACTGCTCCCCACTCCTCCACCCTCCGTCCTCTGCCCTCTAAGTCTCCCCACCTATCCAGACCCTTGGCCCCACCATGGAACCTGAGAGCACCAAGACCTTGAACTTGCCTGGTAGCTGTACATCTGGATTCCAGGAGGGAATCAGAGACTGGGGGGGGGAAGAGGGGGCTGCAAGTGGGAGACGTGGGAGTCAGTCACCGCAGTAGTTAGCTGGAGCCGGAGCAGGGCAAAGGTTGGGAGCGCAAGGCCCTGGCTGCTGCTTCTCCCTCATCTCCCCGCCCCCTCACCCCCCCACCTCGAGGCTGTGTCCACATCTGGAAGTAGTTAGGCCGCTCCAGGCCCTGACTGCCAGGCAGGGCGAGGGGGGGGAATGATGGAGGGGGGCCGAGGAGGATTCCGGGAATTCCTGCTGGGGTGGGGGTGGGAACTCTGAGGGGCTGGAGGGACAGCCAAGTTGCTGGTCCCACTTTTTCCTGATTCCCTGCTGGAGTATTTCCCACCCCAGTCCCAGCCCCGCTGGCTGAGGCCGCCTCGAATCCTTTGGGCCTCCCTTCCTCATCCCGCTGGCTGCCCTTCTTGGCGCCCCCATGCTCATAGCCCTACCCCAGTCCCTGCACTACTCCCCCACTCAGGCCTGACCTCTCTTCTGTTCTGCAGACCTGTGTTCCTGTGTGGAGGGGATGTGACTGGGGAGTCGGGTTACCTGGCAAGCGAGGGTTTCCCTAACCTCTACCCCGCCAATAAGGAGTGCGTCTGGACGATAACGGTGAGAAGGCCCCTTTGGCCGCCGTCCCCTTGTCCAAGTCTCCCCGAGGCCTGGGTCCAGGCAGCCAGAGGCCAGACTGCTAAGGGAACCCCCCTCCTGGCAAGCACCGCCGCTTCTCCCTGGGGAAGTCCCAGCCCCCTCCCCTCTGGTCACTGACAGCATCAGTGCCCACAGTAACACGTGGCAAGCATCCTCACACCTTAACTCAGAGCCTGCTTCTCCATTCCCACCTTCATCCCCATCCCCTCTGGTCTCTCCACAGACCTCAGGTCTTGTCCCCTGCACAAGCCACAAGCCCTCTGCTCTGCACCCTGATGGGGTCCCCTCTGCTTCAGGCCCAGTTTCTGTAGGAAATGCTTGGGGAAAAAGAGTCCCCTCTGCCTGGTTGTGTCCGGCCTGACTTTGCAGGTCCCCGACCCTGTCCCCACCATCAGGTCCCTGAGGGCCAGACTGTGTCCCTCTCCTTCCGAGTCTTTGACCTGGAGCTGCACCCATCCTGCCGTTATGACGCTCTGGAGGTCTTTGCCGGGCCTGGAACCTCAGGCCAGCGGCTCGGACGCTTCTGCGGGACCTTCCGGCCAGCGCCCTTAGTCGCCCCCGGCAACCAGGTGACCCTGAGGATGACATCGGACGAGGGCACGGGAGGACGAGGCTTCCTGCTCTGGTACAGCGGGCGGGCCACCTCAGGCACTGGTGAGACCTCCCTCACCTCCGCTGTCCCCCTCTCCTGGCCCCGCCCCCGGCGCAGGCCCCACCCCAGCCTTAACCTCCACCCCAAGAGCCTGGGACCCCCATTATCTCCCTTACCCTTTTTCCTCACTAACCGCCCCTTCAGTCCCTCCTCCCCGTCTTCTCTCCCCTCCTTCCCGCTCCCACCACCCCCTCTTCCAGGCCCCCGCCCAGGCGCGAGGCGGAAATGGGTCACCGACCCGCGGGTGGAATGGGCGGCCTGGGGTTACTGGGACGGTGAGTAACTGCCCGCCCCCGTCCGCAATCGGGCTCCCTCAGACGGGCGCGAGGGGGCACCCCCGGGCTGGGGGACTAGGTTCCCCCGACCCGGAGCCCCCTACACCCAGCCCGGGGGCTCCCGATTGCGGTCCCATCACCTCCTCCTGGCGGCAGAAGTCTCCCCTAAAATGTTTAAGGAGGGACCTCCCCAAAGGAGCCTCGGGGCTGTGCCCCAATTTGAGGGCACCCTCACAACATGGGGACTCTCCAGCTGCGACGGGGACTTTTCTGCCGGGCCGGGGAGATGGGATCTTCCAGGGGAAGAGGAGCGATGTGGCCTCGCGATGTGGCTTCGCGATGTGGCTTCGCGATGTGGCCTCGGGTCAGGGGGAGGGGCAAGAAGGGAGCGTGTCCAGTCAATTCCTCCTCCCCCTACCACCGCCCGCCTGGGTGCCCGGCGGTCCAAGACTTACCCCCCCGCGGTCCAAGACCTCCCGGAGCCCCGCTCCTCCGAGCCCCATCTCTGCTAACCTACCCCCCTTCTTCCTCCCTCTCTTCTCGCCCCATCATCCCGAGACCCAGACATCTGAGCTTTCTGCACGGGCTCCCAGCCTAGAGTTCTCCTCCAGCTGACCGAGGGTCTCCACCGCCCCCCACCCCCACTCCTCTCTCCCCTCCCCAGAGCACCAATTTTGCGGGGGGCGGCTGGAGAAGGCCCAGGGAACCCTGACCACGCCCAACTGGCCCGAGTCCGATTACCCCCCGGGCATCAGCTGTTCCTGGCACATCATCGCGCCCCCGGACCAGGTACTGACCCCCTGCCCGGGCTGCCCTCGGGGACCCAGGCGGCGTCCTCCAGTATGCAGCCTGCAAAGATTTATTGAACATCTACAATGTCCCGAGCACTGAGCTTGCATGGTGGGCAGCAAAAACAGACCCAGACCTGCTTGCACCCAAACAAAAAATGTCAAATTACGACTGTGACGAATCTTACGAGAGCGAGGTACCCGATGCTGATATATAAACTGATTTGTGCGTGTGTGTGTGGGGGGGTGTGGGTGTGTGTGTAGTGGTGGTGGAGGTGGATTCTGGGTCTGTTCCTTGAGAATGAGCCAGGACTTGACCTTGCGGACTACGGCGACCGAGGCCACTGCAGGGCCCCCGTGGATGTGTGTGTTCCTCCGAGCTGTGGTGTGAATGCATTAAAAGGGGGGCTGGAGGGCACGCGGGAGGTGAGCGAGGAGGCCGCGGCGAGCGTCCCGGAGGCGGCGGCCGGGCGGAGGAGGTGAGAGGTGAGAGCTCCGCTCCCTCGGCTGCCCGGGGTCCCACCGCGCAGCCTCCGCCTCTGCCCCGCCGCCAGGTGATCTCACTGACCTTCGGGAAGTTTGACCTGGAGCCCGACTCCTACTGCCGCTACGATTCGGTCAGCGTGTTCAACGGCGCCGTGAGCGACGACGCCAAGCGGCTGGGGAAGTTCTGCGGCGACACAGCCCCGGGGTGAGGGGGCGGCACCTGGGTGGGTGACGGCGTCCGGGAGTCTCCGCCGCGCCTGGTGCGGGAGCGGGGGGACAGCGCTGCTGGTGGGAGGGGCGGGGCTGAGCTGAAGCCGCAGGAGGCGAACCTGCCGGCCCCAAACGGGTGGGCGGAGCGGGTAGCGGCCCAGGCAGAAGACGAGGCTTGACGCCAGGCCTGGGGTCCGTGGATGGAGAGGCGAGAGGGGCTTGCGAAATCGGGAAGCTAACGCAGACAACCGAGGGGCAGAGGTGAAAAGGCCGCCGGCCTGGGTAGGGGGCAGGATGCGCTGCCCACCTGACACCTCCCCCAATGCCCCGCGCCCGCAGTCCCATCTCCTCCGAAGGGAACGAGCTCCTCGTCCAGTTCGTCTCGGACCTCAGCGTCACGGCCGACGGCTTCTCGGCCTCCTACAGGACCCTGCCGCGGGGCGCCACCGAAGGAGGGCCAGGCCCGGGCCCCAAGCCCGGAGTCGGGCCCAAAGTCAAGCCCGAAGTCCCACCTGAGGAGAAACCGAAGGCCGCGCCTAAGGCAGAGGCAACTCCGGTGGGCCCCGGTGAGTCTGGGAAGGCAGAGGAAGCGGCCGCAGGCTGGAGGGAGTTGTATCCGAGTTCCTTCCTGCGCTCATTCATTCATTCAATACAGCACCCACGGGTGCCGCCTCCGTGCTAATGGCTGGTACTGGGTGCTGGGACACGAAGCTGGATAGAGCTCTGAACAAGTTCAAAGCAATGAGGCTTTTGTGGGAAAAGTGGTCCTTCCTACCTCCTGGGTAGGTTACCCTCCACAAACAGTGCCCCCCCTCCCCCCCCCCCACCAGATGCACCCAGTGTCTCCTGCCCAAAACAGTGCCGGCGGGCAGGCACCTTGCAGAGCCACTTCTGTAACAGCGACCTGGGTAAGCAGCCCCATCCCCCAGCTCTGCCCTTCCAGCTCCTCTAACCTCCCCTCCTGTCCCCAAAGCCCCCCTCCTTCTGGTTCCAGCCCTGCCCTGGCCTCCTGTCTCCTCACCTCTCCCTCTCTCTCCCACAGTGGTGACGGGAATGATGAAGTCCATGGTTCGGGGCCCAGGGGAGGGCCTCACAGTCACTGTCAGTCTCACTGGTGTTTACAAAACCGGAGGCCTGGACCTGCCCTCTCCCCCCACTGACACCTCCCTGAAGTTCTATGTGCCCTGCAAGCAGTGCCCCCCCATGAAGAAAGGTAACGGAGATGTGGGAAAATGTAGAGGGGGACTTAGCC